ACCAAGCATTGCAATGCACGAAATGCGGGGGAGTCGCGGCGTGATTGATGGAATCTGGGGGAGATACCGACGAGCATGGGGAAACAAGGTTCCCGGCGCCTGGGGTCGGACTCGGGCAGGGATGTGGATGCGATGTAGTTGGAACTGCAGTGCTGCTCACCCCGCGGGCGGCCCTTCGGTATATCTTCCTGCGGATGAATAGCATTGGGGTCTGAAGGATCGGCCATGCGTCTGCTTCTCTCGATCATCCGATCGGGTCGCCTGGCGTCGCGTCGGCTGAGGGCACATGGTGGAACAGGAAGCAGCAGCTCGGGTCTCTGGCAGACGATATTGACGATGATCGATTGATGGTCATAGTCGTTGCTGTTAGGACCGCAATGAAGGCAGTGTCATAGTCTGACTGTGGCCCGTGTTTGAAGTGAAGTATGGATGCAGGGTTGACGTCTTATCGAGACGAACTTGACTGGATAAGTCTAGCAACGTTTTGAGATCGAAACCGCCAATGCCTTGACTTGTGGCAGAGCGGACGGATTGGAGTGAAGGCGCTGCTTTCCGACGTCAAAGACGAACATGGAAATGGAAGCGAAAATGAAGACGGAGATGGATATAAACGTGAAAGCGAAAATGAAAATAGAAATGTACATGGAAATGGAAATGGAGATGGAAGTGAAAATAGAAGCAAGCGTGAAAATGGAAATGAAAAGGGAAATGGAAATCAAGATGCTGGCCGAGGAAGGTATGGCCAGTCACCACTTGCTGATCACTAGTGTTAGCACCTCCAGGCACTATGGGACTACACAGGCAAGACAGGCCTCGTGCAGCTCGCAGCTCAAGGAGGCTCCAGGCACCTTCCCCACTATCGAGCCCTGTAATCCAGGGTTCTCCGCACTGTCGCTCGCTGTGATGCAGAACACGATTCCGAAGGCGGCTCACTTCGGGCTTCAGAATGAAGTCGGTCATAGACCTACCTACCTTCTTCCTCTCAAAGTAGCCTTCTTCGTATTTAGGTATTTCACAGCTGTCAAATCATAAATCAATGCCCAACAATATGCGCCAAGATCGCTTCATAGAGCAATGAATCCCATTTCCATTGATCGTCCGCCGCACGTGTGCCATTCAGCAACAGTGGGCATATTTCGGTCTGAACTTTTACACAAACCCAACTTGTTTATCAAAGAATTCATGGCATCGAAACGTATTCTTTGCTATGTTCGCATTCAAACGTCCTCTTGAACAGCAACCTTCGAGACACTCAGAGAGGGCACCGCATATAGACAGGCGGAACGACAGAGAACATGTTTAGCCTTGGAGATCTGGTGTTCCGTTTTGCAGCTGTGTGCGAAAAAAGCAGCAGCGTCGATTTCGTTTCGGCCATGGTGAAGCCTGGTCAGGAAATGGATTTCGGTAGCCGAAAGAGCGTAGATATTGCCTACAGCTGAAAAGCTGGGTGGACAACTTGCACGAGTCCTACAACCTCGCAGCATGGGCAAGTGAGTCGATGTGGTTTTCCAGAATCGCTGGTTAGATCCGCCATGGCTGTGTTGCCTGCCACCCCATTCTTCTGAATATACCTTAAGGTTGAGGCTGGTGTCCAGAGTGTACTCTAGATCCGACAGTAGAATGACCGTGGCAGAGAACAGATCTTTGTACTGCCTTCTGGCTATATTTGAACGAGTCAGGCGCCTCTTAGATTCCGATTCGCAGCTCGAATCGCATTCTGGGGGTGGAGCAAATCGCACCCAAGTCGCAACACGGCGTATTCGTACCGACACGGCGTCTTCGCTTTCCGGATCGCAACCCGATCTTCGGTGCCGCCGTTGATACCAAACAAACATGATAGATTTGCAGTTAAATAGCACAATGAACACGGTTTCGAGAAGATCAATTCGGTATGCTCTCCTCGTTCTGCAATCCATACCATAAACCGCCGTTCCAGTTCATCTTCATCGCTTCTGGAAAGCCCGTACGACCTCTTACGACATCATGGCCAAACTTGAACCGTTTCGCGGCGACTACTTTCTCTGGAAGTATCTCCCCTCTGTCCCTCTCGCCGCCATCTTTGCCGTTCTCTTCCTGATCGCAACCTCGGCCGTCGGCTGGCGTCTCTGGCGCACGCGCAGCTGGTTCTGCATCGCATTCGCCATCGGCGGTCTCTGTGAGCATGCCCCCCTCCCTTCGCTTTTGCGTATCATGCACATCTCGCGGTTCCTAACGTACACCTGGCAGTCCAGATCATCGGCTACGGAGTCCGCATCCGAGCACACCACAACACCGCCAAGCTCATGCCCTACGCGATCCAAAACAGCTTGATCCTGCTCGCGCCCGTGCTCTACGCGGCCTCCATCTACATGACCCTCGGTCGCGTCATCCGCAGTGTGCACGGCGAGGCGTATTCGATCTTCAAGCCCCGAAACCTGACGCGCATCTTCGTCACGGGCGACATCCTGGCCCTCATGAGCCAGAGCGGCGCCGCGGGGCTCATGGTCATCGATGACTTGGCGCACATTGGCGAGATGGTCATCATTGGCGGCCTCGCCTTTCATCTTTGCATCTTTGGACTCTTCATGTCGACGACGGCCATCTTTCACCGGAGGATGCTGCGTCACGAGGGCTCCGTTGCGCGGGGCGTGCCCTGGCAGCAGAGGCTCTGGATGCTGTACAGCGTCAGCGCGCTCATCATGGCGCGCTCGGCGTTCCGGCTCGTCGAGTTCGTCATGGGCCAGGACGGGTATCTGTTGACCCACGAGTGGCCCCTCTACGTGTTTGACAGCGTGCCGATGCTGGCTGTCATGGTCATCTTCTGGGCATGGTTCCCGTCGATGACGGTGAATGCGGCATCGAGGGTTTGGAGCGGGGAGTCGCTCGTCGTGTTGCCTCCACGGGAGGATGTTGCGGCATCTGCCGAAGAGGGTTGGAACCCGAAGCATGGATATCGATGATCTCTGGGGCTGCATTGCATGGGCGTTGCTCGACTCCATGGTTGATCTAGGTGGGTGCTTTGGGGTTTTGTTCGATACTCAGTTGGCATTATACGGAAGGTAGCGTGATCGCTGTTCTTTCTCTGATATTTCCCCTAAGGCCATTAATTTGAGGGCGATTGATGCAAGAGGTCCATGAAGCGTTAGTAGAGACACTTAATGGTGTTGTCGTTGAAGCTCCTGTCCCAGGTGCACCATTCTAGTCGCCGACTTGGTAGTCCATTCGGCTATATAGATGAGGCAGTCAATTGAACCTCCATCACCACCGCCTGTCATTCTGCCCGCCAAGAAACCAGGCAATCCATCAAACTCGCCGATCATGGCTGCACTCCTACGTGTGAACACCAGGCTCCCATGGGCAGCACGGCGTCTGCAGACTCTCTCGCCCTCGCGCCATCGTTCGACCCCGGCCTCCGACCTCCCCTTGGCCGGCATCACAGTCGTGAGCCTCGAACAGGCGCTCGCGGCCCCCCTGTGCACCCGCCACCTCGCCGACCAAGGCGCGCGCGTCATCAAGGTCGAGCGTCCCGGCGTCGGCGACTTTGCCCGCGCCTACGACACGCGCGTCAAGGGCCAGTCGTCGCACTTCATCTGGGCGAACCGCGGCAAGGAGAGCCTCGCCCTGGACCTCAAGGTCGCCAGGGACCTCGACGTGCTGAAGACACTCGTCCGCCGCGCCGACGTCCTCGTGCAGAACCTGGCCCCTGGCGCCAGCGCCCGGCTCGGCCTCAGCTTTGACGCGCTGCGCGGAGAGAACCCAGGGCTCATCGTGTGCGACATTTCAGGGTATGGCGCCGACGGGCCCTACCGCGGCAAGAAGGCGTACGACCTGCTGGTCCAGAGCGAGGCTGGCGTGCTGTCTGTCACGGGCACCAAGGACGAGCGTGTCAAGGTCGGCATCTCGCTCGCCGACATAGCGGCGGGGATGTATGCGCACGCGAACATACTGACGGCGCTCATCAAGCGCGGAAAGACTGGCTTGGGTTCGCGAATCGACATTTCCATGCTCGAGAGCATGGTCGAGTGGATGGGCTTTCCGATGTACTACGCGTACGACGGTGCCCCTCCGCCGGTACGCGCCGGCGCCGCCCACGCGAGCATCTATCCGTACGGACCGTTCGACACGGGCAGCGGCGGGTCTGTCATGCTGGGGCTCCAGAACGAGAGGGAGTGGGTAAATCTGTGTCACAAAGTCCTGGGAGAGAGCGCTCTGGCCGAAGATGCAAGGTTCGCGACGAATAGCTTGCGCGTAGCCAACCGTGACGAGCTGAGGGACATCATATGCCGAGCGTTTGCGCAGCTGACCACGGAGGAAGTACTCGCAAAGCTGGATGAGGCCGCCATTGCCAACGCCAAGATCAATGAGCTCCACGACGTATGGGAGCACCCACAGCTGAAGGCACGCAAACGGTGGACGGAGATCGACACAGATGCCGGACGAGTGCCGGCGCTCATCCCACCAGGCTGTGGACCGGAGAGAGCGTCTTTCGGAAAGGTGCCAGGGCTGGGAGAGCACAACAGCAAGATATTCGCCGAGCTAGGCCTATAGAGACATTCTACCCCTTGACAAAGACATGCGCCATGCTCCGGAGTGTCGTCCCTGTCGAGTACCTTTCGGTAGCAGAGGACGGCAGACCGGGCCGATGACTCACGCCGGTTCTCGGCCCCGCTCGATCTCCAAGCATCGGTTAGGGTCGGACTTTGCCTCCGCGGTCGCCTCTTTTCAGTGGTGACACGTCAGAGTGCCACGGGGTTCAAGTAGTTGGAAATCCATCGTGAGGTTGCGGATCAGATTACCAAGCGGAAAGGTCACCTTCGGACCCCTGAATCGTCAAGCGACGAACTGAGCAAGTTTTCCCGCATGCCACTCTAGTTGTAGTCCGATCACCAGCTCCGCCCGCCCACGGGAAAATAAAGCCTCGGTCCCGACCCTCTTCGCGTTCGCAGCCGTACCTCGTCTCGTCATCCATCGACAGACCCCGGAACCAGGCCATCCATCCCCTTTCCAAACAAGTCACGACCATGTCGCCGCCGATCGCAGGCTCCCGCACGCCCCAGTACACGCCAGCCCAGCTGGACGCCTACTTTGCGCGCATCAAGTTCCCCCAGGCCGAGCACCCGACGGACCGGCTCGCGCTGCTCACAGCCCTGCAGCGCCACCAGGTGACGACGGTGCCGTTCGAGTCGCTGACGCTGCACTACTCGAGGCACCGGCGGCTGTCGCTGGACCCGGCGGACCTGTTCGCCAAGATCGTCACGCGCGGCCACGGCGGCTACTGCATGGAGGTCAACACCTTTTTCGCCTGCGTGCTGCGCGCCCTCGGCTTCACCCTCATCCACGCCGGCGCGCGCGTGCGCGACGGCGCCTGGCTCGGCCTCTCGCACATGGTCAACATCGTCACCATTGGCGACGCGCGCTACCTCGTCGACGTCGGCTTCGGCTCCAACGGCGCCTGCCAGCCCATCCCGCTGAGCGAGGACCCGGCCGTCGCGCGCTTCGAGAGGCGCCACCTGCGCGGCCGCGTCACGCGCCGCGCCATCGACATACACACGGACCCGGACCAGCGCGTCTGGGTCTACGAGACGGCGCTGCCGGGGCCCGCGGCCGAGTTTGAGGCCCAGTACAGCGTGCTCGATGCCGAGTTCTTCCCGGAGGATTTTGAGATTATGAACCTCGCCACGTCGACGCTGCCGACGGGCCTGTTTGTCAAGACGGTGCTGGCGACGCTGCAGGTGGCCGGCGACGATGGCGAGGTCGAGGGCGTCGTCATCCTGCTCAAGGACACCATCAAGCGGCGCATCGGTGACGGCAAGACAGAGGTGCTCGAGACGCTCAAGAGCGAGGATGACCGGGTCAAGGCACTGGAGAAGTATTATGGCGTCGTGTTGACGGACGAGGAGAGGAGGGGCATCAGGGGCTTGGCGTCCGAGATAACGGATGCTCCGTACTGATCCATGTCGTAGTGCGGTAATCAAGTGTAACGACGTGTCTTGGCCGAGGCGGCAAAAGAGAAAAGGGAAATGTAATGATGACTTGTTCTACCATGCCCACTCCGCGCAGAAAACAGGCACGCCTATGACGGCGAATGCTTTGGGCCCTCATCACGTTACACAGTAGCCCGCTCAACAACCTGCCACTGTCGTCCGCCGTGCTCAAACTTGTTCCCCTTCTCAAGCTTGACATCCCTCTCCAGGAGCACACCGCACGGCATGCCCGCGCCGTCGCCGACGCGCTTCGTCCTCCGCCACCCCGGTCCAGCTCGCCACTCCCACCGCTCGGCCTTGACCTCGTCGCCGTTCCGCATAATGCCCTGGCACCATGTCCCGAGCCGGATGACCATGCCCCGCGCCGCGGGCCCTTCGTCCCACACGAGCACGTAGCACTTGGCGCGCCGGCCGTCGACGCCCTGGATGGTCGGGTCCCGCCACACCTCCTCGTAGGGCGTCTCGACGCCCGTCTCTGGGTTCACCATCTGGCCGGTCTCAAGCGTCCTCTCCCCGTCCATGGGCGCCATGTCACCCTCGTCGGCGAGCCCCTCGGTGGCCACCGTGCGCGAATCGAGCCAGTGTCGCCACACGCCGTGCGTCTCGCCCGGCCCGCCGCGTGGCGTCGACGACGACGTGCCTGCGATGGCCCAGTCGAGCCGCTCCAGCGGCGCAACGTCTGTCGGGAAGGGGACGAGGGTCAGCCAGCTCAGTGTGACAGCATGAGGAGGAGTGAGGCTTTTAAGTGCACCTCATGATGAGAAAAGGACCATCATCGGCACACAAAATGTAGCAGCCGTACCTTCAGCGGGCGTCGCGCCCTTGGGGTAAAGGACCCGAATGTCGACAAACCGTCTCTCCGGCGATGTCAGGACCACGGTCGACGTCGGCTCGCTCATGGCGGCGGGCAGCCAGCGGATGCCCTCGCGAATGGATATGCCGGCCATGGTCGTTCTCGTGAGTAATTCCCTCGGCTGGCTGGAGGCGATTCGCAGATTGTACGAGGCGATTCGCAAATTGTACCTATCTGGCCCCGACCCCTCTTATACGATGCAGTGGCGACTATCGAGACGGACAAATCCCAACGAGGAAAAAGAGTCATGTCATGTGTAACACCTTTTTAGATCTCCCGGGTGGAGCCGATAAAGCCGACGTGGCCGTCGAATCAAGGAGGCTTCTTTGACACAGGTCGCACGACGAGAGCGGGCAGCATCCCATCTCCGCTAAACCAAAAAAGATGGACCGGCGGTCCCCAATGTGTCCCAATGGATCTGGCGGCATTCGCCTTGGGACAACCAGCAACCTGACCACCCAATGACCGTCGCCCGACATGTAACGAGGGAAACGCTCATGGCGATCCTCTTCATCAGGACCTTGCGCTCAACTTTATTCGAACAATCGATTGGGGGCAAGGATGTCAAGAGGCATATGCATTACCCAAGTGTCCCGTGTATTATGGCGATGTTCACAGAACGATCCCACCATATCCATTCGCCTGCCCACCGTATGCATCGGCCAACTCTATCATGCTCCATCTCTTTTCGGTTGTCATTTCGTTGGGAGGTTGGGACTCCGCTTCTTAAGCGGCCATGTGCTCAGTCTCCCCGATACTGGCCCCTCAGTGCATCTACTTCTCTCTGCAGCGCGTCCAGGTCTGCGAGGATGTTCTGACCCTCCATGAGGCCTTCCTGCCCCGCATCTTCCGCTACATGGTTATGCGCTGGCGGCGTGAAAACCCGCGTGCTGTCAAGACTCGTCCGCTGCGATGCGCCCGGCGCATCGACGCTGCCCTTGCTGCTGCCCCTCTGTCGCGGCGGCGGCGGTGGAGGCGCAATGGTGTTCTCCTTTTCTCCGCTCACGACTCGTCTGCTAGTTGGTTCAGCGTTCCGCGGCTGCGGCCTCCGTGTAGACGCCTTCCGCGCCGGAGGGGGCGGCGGCGGGGATAATTTGGGTGTTTGCTCGTGCGCCCCAACATCTAGGGACACAGGCGTCCCAAACGACGTGGGCTCCGCGTCGGTGAATGGGCTCGCCGGTGTGGCAAGGGAAGTGGATGAGGCGGATGTCCGCGACACGGTCACGGGTCGCCTTGACGGCGGCGGTGCGGGCACATCTTTGTTTCTCGCGCTCTCCGATCGCGACCGCTGCGAATCGACTGACGATCGCGGTTGCGGCTCCTCGTCATGTGCCGGCACAGCATTCGACGCAGACAGTTGCTTGCTCTCTGCCCGAGCATGGCCTCGTCTGGGCGGCGGTGCAGGGGTAGGCTTCTTTCCCGATGCTGGGATTGGCTCTGGGCTGTGCAGTGGCTCTTCGTGCTCGGGCAACCTCGCTGCCGCCTCGCGAGCGATCGTGTCTTCTGTGTCATCGGCCATGCGGCCTCGCGGTGCCGGGGGAATCGGCCTTTCAACATCAGACGGAGACCTCGGCTTGGGCGAGGCGAGGGAGGATGTCGAGGACGATGGTTGTGCTCCTGAGGCCTCCTCCATATGTTGCGGCTTGATCGACTTGCCGTGCCGAGAGCTCGGTGGTGGCGGGGGTCGGCGAGGTCCCGGCGGCACGGGAGTGCCTTGTTGCGATGTTGGTGTTGTAGGTCGGACGTTTTCGTGCCCCGCCTCGTTCAATGTTTCCATTGAGATCGCGGCTGGCGCATTGTCGTTTTGCAATGGCGCTGTGGGTGGCACGATAGCTTCTGATCCCGACTGCCCTGTCAGCAGCAGTCTCTGGAAGGCGTTGACATCGAGGCCGCCCTTGCCAGGTGCCGATGCCGTTGTGACGGCTTCGAGATCGTGGGCAACATCGCGATCGGTCTTGTCTTCAAACGTCGTCTCAGCGCTGCGGTTGGCGGCGACGAGCGGCGCCGCCTCGGGAAGAGCGCCCATGTTGTCGGGGTTGGCGGGAAAGCGACTTTCAAAGGGGTCCGGGCCGTCATAGTCATCGTTGCTGTAGCCAGGGATCACAGGAGGACTGGGCACGGCGCCAGGGGACGGGGGCGGCGACTGCACGCGGACTCTCTTGACGACCTTTGGCTTGAGGGGCGGCGTCGCAGTGCCATCGCTGTCGGTGGAGGAGGTAGTGATGGACTGCAAAAAGGCGGCAGAGGATGTGGCCTTGGGGATGGAGGGGCGGTCGGAGGTGGCGGCAGCAGCGCTCTTCCTACGGAACGGGTTGGTCGAAATGTCGGCCATTGTGTGCATGCGGTTGTCTCGTCTCTCTCCAGGGCGCTGCGAGGTGGAGAGATTGGGTTTCTGATGTGCCTGTGGGAGGAGTTCAAAGTGCCTCTGCCATTGTCCGGTCTATCCGGGGGCGGGGTGTCTGTTTGGTGGTCCTGCTGGAGCCGCCGGTCGGTGAGATGGGGGCGAACAATCAGGGGGCCGACTAGAGTTCGAGTGATTCGAATTCAATGAACTCCAGGTGGCACGGCGTATCTTTCAGCGGCAGCTATCCTGTTGTTTTTGAAGCAATGGGATGCGAGGCCAAGGGGGTTGTGAAGTCGAGAGCAAGCCGCACCTCTGCCTGACCTCCCTAGGCAAAGGGCAACGCACGACGGCGGCAGGTGCATTCGAGGATGACGAAGTGTGCGGGTACTGGCAGCTGATTGCGTCGTTGTGTCGGCGCAGGTAGCAGTCAGGAGAAGGCACCAGGCGCCAGGAGCCAGGAGCCAGGAGCCAGGAGGCCGGGGGGCAGGATGGGGGGGGGGGGGGGTGGCTGGTGCTGCCTGCCTGAGGTACGGCAGCAGCTGGCGCGGCACCTTCGCAGCTACCCTAGCTCTGCACCTTGGCTGGTGACAGCGGGAGTCACGGCGGCTGACGGTCCACCCACAGAGAGAGACGCTGGAGCCCAGCCGCCAGACACCTGGAAGGAACAGACACAGACGAGGCAAGGGGCTTGCGGCGCCGCTGCCTTATCGGACTCGGGATCAAAAGCGGGTCCATCGGGCCATCCTCAGCATCCACCCTCCACCTCCAGGCTCCACCCTCCACCGCGACGCGCGCTATCCAGTCCAAGCCACACAACTCGCACCTCGACCGCCCCCCCTCCCCTCGCCTCGTCATCCGCAAGCCTTTGACGTGCGTGCGATGTGCTCCGTGTCATTGATGCGCCATAGGACCTGAGATGGCGACGGCCACGCTGTCGAAATCTGCCGTCTCATATCCGCTCCCTCCCAGGCTGCGTCCGAGCATGAATGGCGTCCGTCGCCCGCCGAAGTGCGATGGAGTTTTGCTCCCCGCTCCCGCTCCCCCGCGACAATAGGCAGCATTCTACCCCCAAGGTATTGGCGCGCCACGCCCAGGCTTGTCCCCATGCTCGACGCCGAAATGCCAGGAATTGACGTAACAAATCCGAAAAGACTCGGAGAAGCCCCCAGGACGAAGTTGACATGGGGATGTATCGCGGGCGACAGTGTGAAGGGATGAGGGAGGCGGCTTTCCCTTCGGCCGGACCGTGTCGCAGTCATCAGCGCCGTTTCAGCATGTGGCTCGCATTGATCTGCAGACATGGCAAACACCAAACGCGACGCAAGCTTGGGCCTCACTAACGTTCGACTCGACATGCACGTCGTCCTCAACAAGAACGCGAGCCCCTGGTACACCCGGGTAGGTAAACAAATATTCCACCCCATGACCGCGTCAACTCCACATGCGCGCACCATAGCCTCGCGGCGACGAAACGAAGGGGGTCAGGAGCATCACACACAATACACACACGAGTGAAGTTGAAGTTATATATCATTCCCAGAATCATCATGGTATAATTACAGTCATCCCAAGCCTACCGCGGCTGCGTATGAGCGCCGCAGCAATGCTCGCGCCCACAGCCCGTGGCATCAGGCAAAGACACCCACGCTTCCTGTAACCAGCCCTAGCCCTGCCTGCCTTCCCAATTGCAACCGGAACGCCCGCAAAGTCAACCAACGCATACCGTCATGATCAGCCGTGCTGTCCTCGGCCCTCGGAAGCGTCTCGGACATGCACCAATGGCGTTCCGTCTATGCGGAAGCAGCAGCAGCCTTCTTCGGCGCGGCAGCCTTCTTCGGCGCCGCCTTCTTCGTGGCAGCAGCCTTGGGCGCCGCCGTCTTGGCGACGCGGCCAGTCTTGGTCTTGCTCAGGGCAGCGGGCTTGTCGGCGGCAGCAGGGGCCTGAGGTGTGTCAGTTAAAAGTCCATGTGCGATGTTCGGTGGCGCGTCACATACAGCCTTCTTGGTGGTCGCGGCCTTCTTCGCGGGGGCAGCAGCCTTCTTCCCCGGCGCAGCCTTCTTCGCGGCGGTCTTCTTCTCAGCGGGAGCGGCCTTCTTGGTGGCGGCAGCCTTCTTGGCGGGGGCCTTCTTCTCCGTTGTCTTCTTCTCAGCAGCGGCCTTCTTCTCAGTGGGCTCCTTCTTCTCGGCAGCCTTCTTAGGGGCGGCAGCCTTGGGAGTCTTCTTGGCGAGCTTGGTGCCACCGGAGGGGCCTGTTTCTGTTAGGACGTATACATGTGCGAGTGGGCCATGGCAACATACCCTTGGGCTGCTCGAAGACACCCTTGGCAACACCGGCCTTCAGGGCCTTGTTGAAGCAAGAGTCGAACATGGCATCGCCGACCTTGATGTCATTCTGGGCGCGGACATACTTCTTGAGCGACTGACGCGACGAACCGTTGCGGTCCTTGAGCTAAGGGGGTGTGTCAGTGGCTTGAGTTTAAAGACGCGTGACGCATGAGCTGGGCGGTGGACGAGGTGGAGTCGTGTCCAACATGAAGGATACACATGACCCCTCACGCGCCCACCACAGCGTCTTGCGCCGGAAGACTGGAAAGACGAAAACATACGTTAACGATAGCGTCGTGGATCATGTCCTGCAAATAATCAGCGGCGATTCACATGAGCCCACACCGAGATGCAACCAACCTGGTAGGTGTGCGACTTCTTCTCGGCAGGAGCGCCAGACTCGGTCTTCTTGGGAGCCATCTCGTTGGTTGTTGTGGGTTGGAAGGCGAGACGCGTCGGCTGATGTGTGTTGGAGTTCGAAAGACTCGTGAAAGATGCGGGAATGGATGACGAATGTCGTGAACCGTGAAGATTTCTCTGGAATATTTGCTAGTTTATACCGTGTAGAAGCAAGAGACGACAGGAACGAGAGGTGTGGGAGGAGTGCGCGTGGAGAGGACGGGGGGGCGGTTTATACATGAGCGGGGGCACTTGCCGCAGATGCGCAATCAGTAAACTCGCCATGTCTGGTGCGGCAGGTCCAGGTGTGTCCCGGAAGACAATCCGCTAGGCTGCTTTGGGGCTGGAGCTTGAGCTTCAGCGAGCGTGACGGGGTCCTTCCACCATCCAGGGACTGCTGATCGGTCCTGCCAGTGCTGAGATGTGCCCCCGCCGCACAGGGCACAGCACGCTGCCGCCCGTTTCTTAGGGCCAGACGCGATCTGGGTGGGTGGATGTAATGGGGCTGCCGGGGGGTGGGTACCTTGCCTACCTTACTGTACCTCCCTGACACCTTGTCTCCCTCCTACCTTACCTGGTGCCTCACTACAGTACTCTTTCCTCAACCCGCCCACGCGAACGGCCCTGCCCTGGCTGCATGAGAAGCTTCCGAAGCTTCGTCCCTGGGGCCCTCACGAGGGAAGGGGCTCCCCCCCCCCGTCTCTCCGTCTCTACCTGCTCATCGTAAAAAAGGTACTTGCAGAGGTACCTCGAAAATAGGTCCCTCGTCCCAGAAAAATACGTCACGCGGCACCATTTTTTTGATTGGCCCGCTGCCCACCACCCAACGTCTGGCCCCCTTCTGCGTTGTCTGATCTCGTCCTCGCCCAACGCCCTCCTCATCGCCCACCTCGACGTCTTGGTCCCCGTCCCCATCTTCTTCCTCTTTTTCCTCCTCGCTCGCTCTCTTTTTTCCGTATGCCCACCCTCCATTATGATGTCGTGTGTCTCCCGTCCTTGAACGTGATTTCTGGTCATTTTTTTGTGCGCCGATTGTGCTCCCGAGTACCCTCGAAGTTGAACCGTGTCGAGGCTGTTTTTGGGTGTCGAGATGGTTTGTTTTGCATCGTCGTCGCGACGCGACCGCGATGTCCATGTCTGCATTCGCTCTCCCGCTTTGTCTCGAGAAAAGACTGTCGTATGTTGAATGCATGCAAATGTCCCTGGCCCTTTCTCTTTCTCTTGGTTCGCAATTCAAAGTTTGATTGATGCTGGTTTTGCAAAGGCATTTGCAACGCGACCGTGTTTTGCTCGAGCGCGTCTTTCCCAGCTGAAGCCATCCGCACGTTCACGATGGCGCAACATCCACCCTCCCTGCAACCTCGTCTCCATGTCCTTGGATACTCGACAGCCATCAAATCGAATGATGGTTTTCTCACTGGTTTTCCCATGTAATTGCTTATGTGTTTTTGGCTCGATGGGTCTGCGAAATTCTCCGACAGAGAGGCCATCATGAATCACGCTGGTCGAGTATCTCGCGTTCTGCAGACTGGGGAGTTGCCCACCCATTCAGAAGACCACACCACATCTTTCTCTCATTCAGATCTCTTAATCAGATCTCTCATTCAGACATCCCTCTCTTCGACATGATCATGACTCCAAATAAAGACGAGACGCTTGTCACCGACACACCCACGTCGGTTCCCTCATGTCATGTCTTACGGTTGGCATCACTCATGCCTGCGTGTTAGTCATCGAAGCGAAGCAGATTCACGAACATACGCGGCCCCAAACCCAGACGACCTTTTCTGCAATGCCCTTTTTCTCACATTGGATAAATGAGACTTGATCTCCAACAAGAGATCGACACCGAGTATCGACCATCGGTCAGTGCACACTGTCGCAGCCACGGCCAACATTGCTGTCGGCATCCGCATTGCTGCTGAGGCTCGCAATTCCGCTCCCACGTGGCCCTCACCACGGCTAGGAATCGTCCTTGAGATTGTGAATAGCGGAGTCGAAATAGTGACGAAACCATGGGAAAGCCCCTCTCAGCAGGATCATTTACATGTTCTGGAGAGTCTGGCAGTCTGGCGGTCTGGACGCGGTAGATACTCCCCCTTGGCTCCGACACGTGCCTCTTCGACTCGGACTTCGGCGCAGTTCGATTTTCGTGTTAGTCAGTGTTTCGCGAGGCTCCATCGATCCCCTCAGAACCACGCAAGGTCTGGATCTGGATCAGCGGTCCGCAACTGGTGATGCTGTCCTTTCACAAGAGATCCTGTGGTGCTTTCGTTTTTTTAGGATGGACGGATCAAGGCGCAGACATTCGGTCAATGGACCTGTAGACTTTGGCGTGTTGTCATGCAACGCCTTAACCTGTGTCGTTCTGCAAAATATCGACCAAGACACCTTTGCTATTTTCGATTTCGATCGCAGAACGCGCGCTGAAGAGGATTGACCAGCGGGCCGAATGCACAACGACAAAATTTGACTATCTGGTATAGAGAAATTGATAGTTCTTGCAACGAGCAAAACCGTCACCATACCGGTGCTTGTCACTCTCGGCTTGATGTCTTGGTGTGCCTCAGTATTTCAGAGGATACCAACTGGAATCAACCAGCAAAACCAATCAAACATGCCTCACTTGCACTGTGTTTCCGCTGAAAAAGCGTGTGCCCTTGGCGCATGCGGGGCAAGCAAGATTTGGGGGCTACAGGGACTGACTGACTGAGGTTGACAGCCTCCGGCACCTACAAGAACCCAATTTGAACTGGGTGTGTTCCGCAGCCTCGCTGCTTCTAGCCCGAATCGACCCTGAGCTAAGGTAGCCTAAACTTTGCTTCATCGCATGTACCGGCTCATTCTCTGGTCGCCTCAATCCGCGATGCTGTTAGACCAGGAGGAGTTTCTCCGTCGTTTTAACGGACTGCGACAAATCTGTCATCGTGTGGACTGGATCCCCTAAGGGGATGGCAAGAAATCCCGCTTGAGGTCCTGGCTGTTCTTCACAAGAACGACGGGCCCGTGAATCTGATCCGCAATCTGTCCTACACCAGAGTTCAGCAGGAACCGTTAGTACTCGTCCTTCACGCTACTCCTGGTGATCGATACTCAAGTCATCGACTACCGACTGGACTACGTTCAGGAAAGCATTGTCCGTGACGAGCTTGAGAGCAAGCCTGAGCCCTTCACCATATTTCGGGAGATGCGCTGGATCGGGATGGGCCATTGGTACATCTCGGCCGTGCGGATGAACATCGACTCCGACAATCTTGGGTTTGAAATAGGGAGACTGGGACCCAGCCGAGCTTCATACACTTTTGGAAAAGGCCGGGTGATAACTTGATCAGCCGGGCTTGGCCTACACCCTTTAGATTGGGACAAGATGGACGTCGCGTACAATCGAGACGGAGGATAATAATCTGTAAGCCCTGACAGTATCATGCTGTCCCTGCCCATAATATTCAAATAGCCGGCTGGTGCTTTCTGAGATGTCTACAGAGGACGCAGCGGATGAACAACTGGGCATTTCATGGATGTTCAAACTCATCATTATGAGCATGATAACTTCGAAAAACATTCCGCAGGTGAAGTAAGCAACAAGCCCCTCGTAGTAAACTCTAGGAACAGCAGCCTCGTCATGGCGCTCTTGAAGCCCGACACTCAGAACGTAACCTGATGTCGGTTCTATGAAACGGAAAAAATGGTGCTCGTACCGTCTAGACGCGACAAGGCACCTGACAATACATTTTAGAATATGGCAACGCATTCTTGCTCGGAAAGGAAGTCTTTGCATCCCGAGATGCAGATCTAGTCACAAACCCGATAGCATCCTCTATAGATGATTTCCGGACGAAAATCATCGGAACCTACTACTTTCGAAAGGATGCGATCGGCGACTGAGTACTAGATCGTGTTGGCAAGGCAATGCTTTTGCAACAGTGCATGCTCTTCTAGTGACTATTTATTGAACATCACAAAAAACACTTCTGAAAATAACACAATCTTGAATCGTCGGAGAAGGCCTCTATGCTACCAGCGGAGTTTGAAGACCTCCTTAGAAAATCGAGAGCGCCACCCTGAAATAAATGACCAACGCCTATGCCGGTTCTATGCCCAAGTCGCATCCGTTACAGTCGCAAATCATGCAATATGTGCCGTATCATGTGTTTAAGCCATGACCATGGCCGCTGCAAATGCCAGAATCACAGCAGACACACTGGCCTTGATTATGCCAGCAGCGCTTCCGTCACCCTCACCGTCGCCATCACCACCAGCCTCCGAGTCGTTTCCGTCGCCATCGTTTCCACCAGACTCGCCCGACTCCTCCTCAATGGTGCCGGCGCGCAGGCAACGCAGACCAGTCAGCGACGAGGTCGACTCGTTCGTCGAGCCGGCCTTGGTGGTATGCAAGATGACAGCCCAGATCTTGGTCAGCGCATACTCATACATTACGCTGGTCTCGTTCGTGCCAGCCTCGGTCGGCCTTGTGGCAAAAGCGTTAAAAGGCTCGCCGTCATCTAGGTTGTTGGATCCGAGACCTACGGAGCAAAGTCAGTACGGCTGCATCGGTTTCGGGAACGACAAACTTACCAAAACGGGTTGTTGATTGCGTGTTCGAAAGCCACCTGCTGCAGACATCCTGCAGTTGCGGACTGCTTTCGTCGTCGCTTGCCGTTGTCTCAATGGCCCGGCGGCACTCGTCGCTCAAGAAGTCGCAGCCGTCGATGTCGTCATCATTATTGGTGGCATTGGCAGCGAAGCCGGTGAAGATGGCAACACTGACGTCTTTCGTGTTGAGCTTGGCGCCCTTGGTGCGCTCTAGGGAGAGAATCGTCAACTGGGTAACAGGATCCTCGCCGACATCATCGCCGGCCTGCGTGGCACCAGCGAGGGAGACATTGGCGGCGAAAGCGAGATGGACGGACCACGCATCGGAGCTGTTGCTGAAGCCGAGGTTGCCGTAGGAGACTGATGCCGTGTTGTTCGGCTTTGCAAAGACGGCTTCGAAGCGCTCAGTAGGGAGGCCAAATGGGGGT